AGACTGGCTTGAAATACCATATAGCATTGGGGGTGTTATAGTTGGAAGGAGGGGATATTAATGCAGTTTCATGCAGGGTTGCACAGCCTTTATTACATTTTTCATGAAATTTTTGGTGGAAATGCAGAGGCTGCATAAAAACATAAGCATTCGCATGCAGGGCTGCACAGCCTTTATTGCATCGTGCATGGAATGTTTGTTGGAAGCATTGTAAAGCTCAAAAGTGTCAGTTAAGACCTTTTTCTGAGTGTAGAAAGGCATGAATGGAGATACCTCTGCTTTTCTGTGGTTCTAAAAACTAAACAAGCCCCCCAATGTTGGATTGGAAGGTTTAAATAAAGTGATAGGAGGGGTGTATCAAGATACTGCTGTTGTTTAGAAAGTGGCTTGGGTTTGGATAGATAAAAAAGGGATGTTGGATGGTGGATGAGGTGATTGATGAGAGTGGGAATTGAACAGAGGTTGGTGTTGATAAAGAAGGGTTATGAGTTATGAGTGATGAGTGTTGATGAGTGGTGATAAGTGATGAGTAATGAGCAATGAGATGTGAGGTGTGGGAGCAAGTGCTTCAACCAGGGATTGAACACAGGTCCTAGTGATGGGGGGTTATGAACTGATAAAGGTTTTGAGTTTTTAAAGGGTAAATAGCCTGATGGAAAAGGAAACTGTTAGACTTATATCTTGACCAGGACTTGAACCAAGGGCCTTATGAAAGTGTAAGGGTGTGATAAAATATATAAGGGTTGATGTAATTGTAAAACTATAATATTGAGTGACTGATGATAATATAGAGTGACCAGATATCTTAGTGTTTAAAGTGGATAAAGAATAATAAGGGTATTTGTAAAATCTGATGCCAGAATCTGGTGAGAAAAAAATCTGGTGAGCAACTCTGGTGAGGAAAAGGGAAACAACTGGAGGAGATCCCCCTTATATAGACAAAGATGAGGGATTTTAGATGGACTGGAAGCGCCATAGAACACACTAGAACAACCAGAACTGAACTAAAATACACAGCCATCAGATCATGTGCTTGCACAGCCTGTCAAAAATGGTGTCAGATGAGGAAGAAAAAGAAAAGAGAAAAATAATAAAAGAATAAAGGACATCATTTTTTTTTTTTAAAATTTTTAAAATGTAATAATACCACAGCATGTGGACAGTACGGTGTGGTGTTCCATTTGAATTACAATGCCAAAGGCACATGGCAGAGGTATTGTGAGCAGATGAGTGCATGCACAAGACAGTCTTTACAAGAGGAGGAAGTGTTATCATGGCAGGGCTAGGATATATACACATGGATGGACAACAATTACATGGATAGGCAAGTATGTCTCAACTAGGAATGGAACACAGGACATGTCAAGGCTGAGTGACTTTGTGTCTCAACCAGGGATTGAACAGAGGATGTCAAGACGGGGAAANAAAAAAAAAATAACTTACGTTATGGGTTTTGGAGTGCAGTTGTGGATTGGTTTGAATTCGGCCAAGCGGATCTTGGCAATGTGCCAAGATTACCCGAACTTGAATTTTCAAGCCCCCTGGGCACATGCCCAAGCCCCCTTGGCACTGTGCCAAGCGGGTACGTGGGCATGTGCCCAGACTGGCTTGAAATACCATATGTACTACCTGCTTGTGTTTCCGTCTCCCGTCTCTATATAATTAGTACTCTGACTGCTGTTTTTATTTTAATATTGTGGCTTGGGTGCATGCAATACCCATGGAGTAATTGTCTGGAGTAATAATAATACAGATTGCTTGAGTTGCGATGATTCAGAAAGAAGCAAGATATAACTTTGCGAGCATCAGATCGCGCAAATATTTGAATGAACGGTTCGTTCCTGTAATTGATCGTCCAAGACATCGGTAGCAGATCGATAGCGGGTATAAGATACTAATATCTTTCTTGATCGGAGTGCAGGAAGAGACAGGAAGATTCAGATCTTGCGTCCGCGCATGCACGATAATACGATCGAAATTTGGATTTAAAACCGGCCGGCTCGATGGCCATGGATATTTTGGACAATGGAGTGTGCTTTGGATTTTGAGTGATGGATAATGACAGCAGCTTTCCGCACCTGCACTGACTAGACTGCTGCTTATTTACACACTTGCGAGCCGATCGGGCCGGCATACATACATAGCAGCTTATCAAGATAATAAGAAGAATATGTGCCGCGCATGTGGGCACCAGTGGGTGTGTGTGGGTGCCAATTTGCTGATTTCTATTTGCAGCACATGTACAACACTATGTGACCAAGTCTTCGCTGTTGTCACCGATTTTTTCTTCATATTTTTTCTCATGCTCCGAGGTTAGATTATAGTTTTTGGGTCTCTCGCCAACCCAACTATTCTCGCTGCCATCTGGGTTTAGGCTTAACATTCGCGAAAAATAACACCCCTAGCTCATCGATTGAATTGAACATTTCTCCTTTTCCTTAGTTGAACGCGAATAGAACTCATGAGGATGATAGGGGAATGGATGAGGGTGAATGTGCATGTGGTCCCGTTGGCCATTCAAGCGATGCTGGTGCAGTACGATTGGCGAACAGCGCAGGACGGCCAACGGGCACCCGCACAGGAGGATAATCCGATAATCCGATGGACCCGGATCGGCTTGGTCCCTATCAGCCTCGGCCTGCTCTCCCGCGACCAGCTCGCGCTCAGACTTGATCCCACCTTCTCCGCCGCAAACAAGATCACTCTCGGCTGCTTGTTCGCCGGCCAGTTCTTCAAGACCTTCCTCTTCGCCTTCATCCGTCCTCCATCCTCAAAGCAACCCCCATCTCGCCCGCCTCCTCACAACCCTCATCAGTCACTCCTCTTCACTTTCATCGCCTCCCTCGCGCTCCTCTTCAAGTAAGGCCTTTTTTTTTTTTCCTTTTTCTGGAGTTTTGGCCCGCTCCAGCTGACACAGTGCTGCTATTTTAAAATTTCATATATCAGTGGTAGCTCTAATCCATCCAAACAGTTTAAGCTAGTAACTGGTAGCAATACGATCCGCTCGGATGTCGTCTTTCTCATGTCGACCATGCGGCGGCTGGCCTTGTTGAACGTGCTCGGCGGGATCGGGTTGTACGCCTGCAAGAGTTTGAACGACGAGGTACTGGTAGGACGCTACCCGATTATGGAGCAGTACAAGCCCCAGCTGATGGCAGTTGTATGGGGAGTGATGGTCTGGTCTTCGATAGACCTGATGGGGTGTATGGCGAGGATGTCACTGCTCGGGATTAAGTGGGGAAATGCGCTCTTATGCCGCTGGATTCCGCTCTACCAACATGCCCTCTCTAAGGAGCTCAGTCTGACCGATCTCGAAGAGAGTTGCCCCTTTCACTTCGAGAAAATCCCCCTCACCGCATCCAGTATCACGGACTTCTGGAGCAGACATTGGCACGGTCTCCTTAGAGATCTCTTCATTGAGGCCGGCTCTATCCCCCTCACCTCCCTCGTACTCTGGGCCTCCGGCTCTCGTAAACCTCATCCCAAGTTCCTCAGGCTTTGCGGCATCATGGGTGCCTTTACCGTCTCGGCAATCGTCCATGAAGTCGGTCAGTCGATCATCTCTTTTCTCTTAACTTTGGGTAACACCCTGGGCGTATCTCACTAATTTTGAAAAATGTAATATAGGCATGTGGACCGCAGGCCCATTCGACTGGCGACTGAGGACCTCGATATTCTTCATAAGCCAAGGGGTGGGAGTGTGTCTAGAGAACGTGTTTAAGAGCCTCACGAGTCGGGCCGTTGGCGGGCCTCTGGGCCGTCTGTGGACCTACTCTTGGCTGGTCCTTTTCGGCTCACCCATGATCTCCTCGTGGATGCGAAACATGGCCTTGGACCAGCCCAAACTATCGGCACATCTCGATCAACTCGGCTTCTGGAAGATCCTCTTGACTCCCTTCATCTTGCTTCACATCATCTCTTCCTTGCCCTCCCTTCCTTCTGAGAATGCTTGAACTACAACAACCATACACGGAAACCCAACTCTTTTCTTTTTCACTTTTGCTTGGCTAGCACGGATTTTGTTAAGGTTACTTGTATTACAAATCCTTCAAACCTAGAGCTTCATTTATGGTCTCGTTTCCCCCAAGGAGCTCATGTTGTTCTTGTCTATTGTTGTCAGCGGGGAGATTGACTGGTGTTCTACCTGATAGGAGGACAATGTATTTCGATTTCCAATCTTTGATCAATGCTCTCTGATGTGGCCGCTAATTGAAATAGACTTTGTGCTCTTGTGCGCGATGTTTCGATCTAGTCCTTCCTCTCCTAGTTGGGGAAACTACGGGTAATTCCTCAACAGCCTTGGAGCCCTTCACTGCGGCCATTCTCCTTCCTTCTCGATCATGTGCCCTAATGGACTTGCCCGTGGATAAACCTCTAGCACTGCGATCATTAGGATGGTGGGTGTGGAAGCTAGCTGACGATGATGTGGAAGTGGGCAGAAGTCATCATCAATTAATTGGGACTGCATGAGAGAAGAGACACTCCAAATGTGGAGTTTCCACACCCTACAACGGCTGTTCTACTTGCTTCCGGCAAGGGAAGGGGGGGCTCCCCTCTTGGGAGGCTGCGTCTATTTGTGGTCGCCGTGACGAGCCCTCGTCCTGGCGTCGTACGAGACGTCCGTCAATGGTCTGCCGAAACCTAACCTGATGATGGTGAGGCCTCTCCCCACCGGTTGGTTGGATTCCGCCAAACCAGTGGTCATCAATCACATCAGGTCAGTCCACTCCCTTCTTTCCCGTCAACCCTTCCACTTCGCTCTTCACGGTAAGCTCCATCTTTCTTCTCCCTGGGAACATCAACACAATAACCACCAGCCATGTCCTCCTCTCACTGTCTTCTCATTCTTCCGATGCCTTCCCTCTCAGATGCCGTTCGTCAAGGTCGTCAAAAACTCGGCCTACTTCTCAAGATTTCAGGTCAAGTACCGTCGTCGTCGAGGTCAGTTGATCTATTAACAAACTCATCTTCCTTCGTGTGACCCCTCCCTCAAAAAAATAAAATATGAAAAGATGATTTTCCGAGTTTCATGCATAGTTCACACTGAGTGCCAAGTCACCATGTTGAACACTTATTCTATCATATAGTCTTTCGCTCCTATCTGATCCCATACACGTGCTTCCCTGTCATTCTGTGATTTTATGCTCCTTCCAATTCCGTGTATCATTGAACTGATTACAGCCCATTCCTCTTCTCTCCTCAGAGGGTAAGACGGACTACTATGCCCGGAAACGCTTGGTCGCACAGGCCAAGAACAAGTACAACTCACCCAAGTACCGTCTGGTGGTACGAATCACCAACCGGGATATTATCTGCCAAATTGTGCATGCCAAACTGCAGGGAGACTTTGTCCTGGCCGCGGCTTACTCTCACGAACTACCGCGATATGGCATCAAACACGGTTTGACAAATTGGGCGGCCGCTTACGCTACCGGTCTACTGGTTGCCCGTCGGGCGCTCGTCAAACTTGGTCTTGACGAGAAATACCAAGGTGTTGAAGAGCCGGAGGGTGACTTGGTCCTCACTGAGGCCAACGACGAGGGACCCCGTCCTTTCAAGGCTTTCCTCGATGTCGGTCTGAGGCGCACATCCACCGGTGCTCGTGTCTTCGGTGCCATGAAGGGCGCCTCCGATGGTGGCATCTTTGTACCCCACTCGGAGAACCGTTTCCCTGGCTACGACCCTGAGGCTAAGGAATTGGACGCCGACATGCTCAAGAGTTATATCTATGGTGGACATGTTGCCGAATACATGGAGGCCCTTGAAGAAGAAGATGACGAAGTAAGCTCTCACTCCCTGGACGTTCTCTGTCCCGCAACGAATTATTGACGTCAAATCTTTTTTTTTTTTTTAAAAAAAAAAAAACTATAGCGGTTCAAAAAACAATTTGCCACCTATCTGGCTGATGACATTGGATCGGCGGACATTGAGGAGATCTACACGGAAGCGCACAAAGCGATCCGGGCGGATCCCTCGCCCAAACCGACGGACAAATCCAAGCTGGAAGAGTACAAGAAAGCCAGCAAGCAGAACAAGCCCACCAAGATCACCAAGGAACAACGGGCAGCCAACGTCAAGGCCAAGGTCCAAGCCTTCATGGCTGCCGCCGCTTAAGCCTCCTTCCTGTCTTGTACTTGTTGTCTTGTTCACATCAAACCCTCTGTCGTGCCCCGACATAACCTCCCCGCTTATGTTATGCTTTCAGCGCTAAAAAAATCATCCCATCTTATGCCTCATGCCCCATCAGCAGTGTTCCCCGTTCTCCTGAACACGATCTTTCACGCACATTGTTAGAGCCCTTCCACACGAGAGCTTCAACCCGGGAGTCAAAATTCTATGGTTGCATCCACCTGCAGCATGATACCTACTGCAGCCCCTGCGGCATCCAACGCTAGTAGCTAGTTCCAGAGGCAAATATGCATATCTTGAACTCCCCGGCCACCCGGCCGATCCTTTTCTGCAACGCATGTGGTGTCGAGTGCGAGGTGTGGATCCTGGGGATTGAATTGGGAAGTTTTTCATAGGTTTCTTGAGTTGAAGGGATTTCATGGGGAGGCAGACGACCCTCTCCCTCCTGCGCTAGCTTCCGGGGTCCATAGCGACCTGCTGGGCACCCGCGCTGGGTTGAAAAAAGAAAGGGTTGTGGGAGCTAAATCTGGGATAGCCACCCGGTTCAGCTCCCGCGTTGGAGATGCTCTGACACTCTGGTTGGTTCAAGGTCTTGGCTGCGATGAATATCTTGCCTTTTGCCCCCGCACCACCGCGAGTCGCGTTGTCTCGAATTTTACTTTGTGTCTGCAATCCGTCGCCTGCGAGTGTGTTCCCCAAGTTCCACGCCAACACCTGCTCGCCAAAGCTAGAATGTCTTGTTTTCCTGACTCTAGAGTTGTTGTGAATTCTTGTGTGTGTGTGTGTGTGTGTTTTTTTCTGGCTACTCCTTGGTTGCGCATTGGGGCCAAACTTCGGCGGGTTCTGGGCAACAAAACTGTCTCCTCCAGCCTTGCCATAAACCTTCTTTTTTCTCCTCTCTTCTGTCCCCTCTTGTTCACTTCTTTTCTATCTAGCGGTCTTATGCATCTCTGTTTCCTGCTCTGGGTTGGGCCTATTCTATCATATTCTCTGCTCGTTCATCGCTTCTTGTCTCGGCCTTATTTGCAATCGATCAACCTCTCTCTTGCTTTCTCATTGCCACAAAAACCCTTTATCATTATAAAATATATATATATATCGTATTGGCTCATCATCTACCCATGTCATTCATCAAGATTTATCCAAAAAAAAAAAAAAAAAACTGCTGGTTCAATATGTCAGATTGTTGCACTTTTCTCACCGGTAACTGTGGAGGAAAATCAGCTTGGATTTATGTGCAATATAATCAGAGTGTCTTGAACCCCCTTTTTACACAATGATTTACTGATCATATCAGTGGGGCTCAACATTGGGTGGATCAAGTGACTAGTTCCGCAAATTTTGGCAAGTTTCTCTGCACAAAATAAAATGTGCAGATCATCAAGTTGCCGGAATTCATTCCAAGTCATTTCATCCATCTCACCTCTAGGATGAATTTCCGAGGCTCATGTTGCAGGGTTTTTCGTTTTCTGTGTGCAGAGTAACTTTTCCAGGTATGGCTCAATGTTGAAACCCACGGCCGCTCATGAATCAAAGATGAACCTCGATCCAATGGACCATATGAGAGTTATTCCAGAAGTGCAAGATATATAGAAAAAACAACAACAATTTCTTGTCCTCTCTGTGATTCCAAGTCCTACAGTTGTCTCCCAATGACGGCCAAAGTAGCTCGAAAAAACATCCACATAGGCGGCCACACTTCAGCATCAGCCAGGTTTTCTTTTTTGTGTGTGTGTTTGTCCAAGTAACATGTCTGTCTGATATGCCTCTCTTTTAACACCCCCCAGGGCCAATATTTCATTCCTGTTCTTCCATCTGGAATGTGCGTCCTTCCATCCCTGATTTCCACGGCCAATTAGAAAAGCTTCACCGCTCTCTAAACCCCAATTTCCATCCACTTTTCTTTTTTTTTTTGTCTGCATGTATAAATAGATTGTATGGAGCCCCCTGGTTTATGGTAAATTTTTTTTAGAGGAAAGGCTGAGAGGAAGGGATAAAAAAAAAAAAATATTTTTACAGAGGGAAACAAGGGTTAATATTCTCAGATGGAAGGGGCTCACAATGTCAGATAAAAGAGACTTTGAAAGTGTCACCCCTCATGGACCAGTATTCCTGCTACCAGCCCAGCAATTTCCATGTCTATTCTAGGTAGCCATATTTGGGAGAGAAATTGACCGCTGGTGACATCCATCTCATCTGATTCACACAATTGGTTAAGGCCAAACATGTTGTGTTCCATTTATTGTCACAAACCTTTTACTTTTTTTTTTTAAAAAAAAAAGGGGGGGGGGGGGTTAGATCAATCCATAAAATGGCTCTACATTGATAATTGAAGAGAAATGATCAAGATTTCGTGGTGAAGGATGCTCATGTTGGAAGTGGTTTCAGAGCTGCCAATGTCAGCTTCACAAAGGAACAGCTCTAGAAATACACTTGCATCACAATGGTCCCTTGCCGTGTATGGCAGCAATCCATCGCTGTCACTTCCGACGTGGGTAAGCAGCTAGACACAAACACTGCAGCAGATGGCTTTGAGATTGCTTTGATTGTTTGTTTGGAGGACTTGATGGTAATATTTGCGTCAGGATTACTTGTCCAACAGGGATGCTGCAGGCATCCCTATGTGTGTGTGTGTGTATGTATGCAGGTCCTGAAGAAGCTTCCGGGTAAATTAGACAAAGAGATGCGGAAGCTATTCCGTGCCAGTTTATCTCCCTGTCGCTTCTGATAACTCATAATATACATTTGGGAAAAACAAAACCAAAAAAAAGTTCCCCGTTTTGTCGACACTCTCACAGAGCATAGATCCACCCATTTCAATTGGAACTATCCCAACAAACGAAAGACCATTTTTTATTTTTTTCGTCGGGAGAGATCGAGAGATTCGGAAGCGACGATTAAAGCCAACAGGCCCGAGATGGACGAGAGACGTAGCTGGGAAGACGCGGACGTGGTGATTATCGGCGCCGGAGCCAGTGTCAGTCTGATCCATCTAAGTTGTAGATCTTGAGGAAAAAAAAACTCCCCCGGCTGAGGGCTCCACGTTTTTGTCTAGGGTCTTGCGGCTATCAAGCAGCTTACCACCACGACCGACCTCAAGGTGATTTGCTTCGAGGCTAGGGACGGCCCGGGGGGAGTGTGGTGAGTGGATGTGGTGATGTGGGAATGTCAAAGCGTGATGAGTAGAAGAGATGACTGATGATGATGGAGATGACAGGCGGATGAACAGCAGCAGCGAAGAGAAGAAGCCGAGCCTGCAAGTGAAGGTGGGGTTCGACGGGATGGGCCGGCCGGTGGTAGAGCCAGCGCCGCTGGACACGTCGCCGATGTACGCCGGTCTGCGGACGAATGTGCAGAAGGAGCTGATGGCCTATCGCGGCCAGCCATTCCCTCCGGATCCGGCGCATCCTCACTCTCAGTTCCCCGCCGCCCACCAGGTCGCCCAATACCTCATCCACGCCGTCCGTGGCCTCGAGGCCTTCATCCGATTCAGCCATCAGGTCATCCGCGTCGCTCATCTCCTGCCTTCCACCCGCAACAGCCTGCCTCCCCCTTCCAATCGTCGCCGCTGGTTCCTCGAGGTCCTCCCGCGAAGCCATCATCTCCATCAGCTAAACACTATGCGAAACGTCTCGTGCGATTTCGTCTTGGCTGCTTCTGGGTCAGTCACTAGTGTCAACTAACAACAAAGATACCTTTTTCATCATTTCCACCATGAATCATTTCTAACCATCCAACCTTTCTCACGTTAAAGACGTTATTAGACACTATAGTGTGCCGTATATACCTTTCATCCCGTCGCTGTGGACATGGCCCAAAGGTATTACTCATTCCTGCATCTACTCGAGTCCCTCCGACACGATCTTTCATGAGAAAGTAAGAGGTTTTATAATACAGCCGAGCCTTTTCTTCTTTTCTTTCTTTCTTTTTTTCTTTTTATTTGATTCACTAACAAAAGAAGCGATTTGGTAGACAGTAGCAGTG